TTTATCTAAACCATGTTCGCATTTTAGGCTGCTAATATGATAAACCAAGTCATAAACCCAAATACGATTAGCAACAACGACTATGATGGGTTTATTAATAAATGTTAAAGGCGATCCAGATGATTTCTAAATTAAGAAGAAATGGAGATATAGTGTAACGTATGTATGGGCCAGGTTAACATGCAGGTTGTTGACGTATATGACGATTTAAAAATAATGAACATTTCCAGAAAATAATTTTAAAGTTTAGACTGCTTGTGAAACTTCAGGCAGGAATATGATGTGTTATAAACATTCCATAAGAAGTTACTGCATTTAGCCTAGGGACACTTACAAATATTGGCAAAAGCAACTAGAAAACATATACATGTTAAGTACAAAAAAATCATCCAGTAAAATAGTTGAACTCGCCTTGATTATTTCTCAAAATTAGATTATTCAGTGGACGACATATATAACGTCATTCGTGAGTAGTAATGATCCAAAAGCATCCAGAATAAAACATGCAGTATGGTAATCACTTCCAGGGTGCTTGATGCTGTTGATGTTTTTGGGACTCGCTCTGATCAGAACAACTGAATGAATCCAGATAATTGTGTGTGCCATTGAATGAACCATCTAAAAATGATTGCAGAAAACTTATAGCTGAAACTCACCGTATGGTTTTGGAGTAGTCATCCTCGAGAATATGAAATTAGGCAGGCAGTGGTCAGAAGAAAAGATATTACAGGATAGTGCATCGTTTAAAAAAGGATGAGGTGTTAAGTGAAGGAACACTGAGAATTAGATCCAGATAACTATTTAGTCCTTAATCGCATTGTTAGTCAATGTATATTTACGCTACTTACAGGTCATATTTGCTAGAGCTTGATGTTTAAACAAGTCTATGTTGCTGAAGCATGTAAATGCTATTAAAGCTTGTTAACGAACCATCAAAGCTAATTAGTTGATATAGATGATCAACTTGTATTATCGGTTGAGCTAGTAAGTTATGTGAACTAATAGATATAACATTACGATAATATATGTGACCATTAATCAAAGGACTATTAGAATAGTGGGTTTACAAAAATAAAATCCGATTGAGAAGGTTAAGGTGGAAATAAGGATTAACAATAATAGGTTGCATTTCTTTAGTTGGGCTCACTAATGTAGAATTATGGTCTACTAGTATATTAGTACCGCTCTAATAATAGACCTAATCCTAAATTTGTAGATTTGTCATGATATAACTGCCTAATCTATAAGATCTTACGTGGAAGTCACACCATCGACTACACCAACTCACTGTATCGTATCAATTACCAATGCATTATGTAGAACAAGGTTAGGCTAGAGAAAGAACAATATATTTAATATGAATAGAAGATATAAAGTAACATTGAGATGGACCACGCCTGCATGGACGAGCCATGCCACTCGATCAACTCCAATTCATTCAATTCATTCTCCGCGCCTTCTCCATTGTTAGATATTTCTCCGTGTTAAATATTGAATATCTATTTTCTGAGTAGTCTTGTGTTCAGCTTTGAAGATTGTGTGGTTATGGTCCAATGCCACTACAGGTCTTCAACATTCTTGCCGATATCAAAACTTTGATGAAAACACCCTGGCTGAAGGCGCACAGCCAATCATGCGTACCAGATCAAGAGTAAGTACGCCATACTGCCTTATAATAACTAGCAAGCGTTTATCACACTTTTCTCGACATGTCAGCCATCTTTTAGCTGATTCATTCCTAACTTCTAACCTGAATGGTTGTAAGTTCCTAGATTATGAAGCTGTTACGGACAGCGGTGTTGTCTTGCCCTTCACATTTGTGACATCTCTAATGATGAGTCGGATGCGACCCGATTTATCACACAATGAACTATGAAATTGTTTCTTGTTGTAAAGTTATATATATCTGTTTAACATTTTGTGGTCTCAGAATTTTTCGTGTATTTACAAGATCGTTTATGCCCTAATAATTCGAGACCTCGCACCTGAGCTGTTAGAAATTAACGTGCCAAACTCCTACTTGCAACAGTATCGAAACCTGGCCCTGCTATACAGAAGCTGTCTTACAGGTACACCATGTGGCGGAACACAAGCAGAAAACGGATCTCCACTTACGGGTAAAGACACGTTTACCTGATCGTGAATATAGAAAAATACACCCACTGAATTTTTGTTGTAGTAAATATGTCAGTCACGATCATTGCGGTGGATAAGTGATAACACCCCGATTTACTCCTCAACCCTAGGTAACGGAAGTTGAAAGACGGATGTACTTAAGTATCTGTGTAGAGCCTCAGTTTCCGGTCGCAGTTCACACCCGATCATATTCAAACATTCAATCTATCTATACCTTTTGCTGATACTCGGCGAGCATTCTGAAAGGTAAAAAACGCCACCTCCATTACCGTATGTAACCGGCAGTATTTCACATAACATCTTGACTACAGGACCGCCTGTATTCTTTAAAGCATGTCATCTAGCTCTCGAAATGCTAAGACCGGCCAAAAATAATTCGACAATATGATGACGTTAGGAATTATTTGGCCATTAAATGGTCTTTGCATATGGTCCTTAAAAACTATAACAATGATTGATATCTGACCGGTGATTATTGGTGACTTAACAGATTGATCACCTCCACTGGCTACCCATTGTCGCGAATTCAGTACCTGACGGCCATTTTGAAAGTTGCGATGTTACTTTTGAAAATCTATGGCTGTGAACGATACTTCTATAACGGCCATTATCACTCACTATAGACTTTACGAAACTTCTTGGACAAAACTGTATTTCAAATAGTTAACCCCGGACACCATCTGATGGTCTTAATCGTTAACAATATCTTTGCTGGTACCTAGCATAACACTCCTTAGTTTTACAGAACCATACATCGTGTTTCACTTACTGTCACTGCGATTTATAATAATAATAATTGTTATAAGATTCATTTTGAAAATTTTGTCTGTGAAAATTCCTCCACGCATACGCAAGTTACTTATTCCTACCCGTTTGTTCTTCCATTGATTGTTACTTGCATTTACTGGAGTTGTGCATTTTTGATCGTGAATTGAAGCACTCTTCCAAAATTGGAAACACTGCGTTATAAAACAACCAAATATTATCTTTGAATGAATCTGTACGTGATCGATCCAGAAATGATAGAATAACTTTTATTTGTTGCGATTGGTAATGTTCTTATATCCTTTATCAACTTGTTTATTTATTGTAATTTAGATTCGGCTACTGATTGAACAATTATTGGTTGAATAACTTGGTGGTAATGTTTGTTTAGGTAATAATGCACACTTATAATGAAATCTGGAACCGTCATTTACCCAATTGCCTTGTTTCGGTTTCAACTGGGCGATAGCGCGCATCTAAAATAAACAGACAATTATTCTTCAGTCTAAGCCTTAGTTTGGATTCTATAGTTATTACGTGTAACTTTACATAGAAAGGAGTATCTAAGCTTAATGTCTTCCTTACTGCAAAAACAAGTCACGTTTCCTGTAATGTGCAGTCTACCGACTCTAGGGAAGCCTCTGCTGATAAACCAACGTCGGGCTCACCAATTTCGTGCCTTAAAGTAACCCTCGTGCTATTGATAGAAGAAACCAGAGAAGTAGTGAATAGGTCTTTATTTCGATCTCAGCGCGGTAACAGTGGAGCGTGGTATTATCTGTTCAGACAAACAAAGGCTCTCAACATTCAATATAAGATAATAGGGAATATAACGCTTATACAAAACAAGGAAGTGAATGAATACTTGAACAATACTGTTTTGGCATATGCTTGGTTGTTTGGGGTCAACTCTTAACCAACCACCCTAAGCTGTTACATACTCACCTAAATTCAAAATACACAAACCATTCAAATATCTTAAAAAGAAGAATATATTTGAAAAATTTCAGCGAATGAATTTAAGTAAATCCAACGTTTCGCCTGGCAATCTGGTCCAAGCTTTTTCAAGGAAAATATATATATTGCCAGGCGAAACGTTGGATTTACTTGAATTCATTCGCTGAGATTTTACAAATATATTCTTCTTTTTAATGTCTCAAATTAACTTGGCGCCAAAATATTGTGAAACTATTCGTTCAAATCTAGACGAAAGTTCTCATTCAAATATCTGTCTAATTCACCGGGAATAGTGGAATCGGGTGTCTATTTGCTCTTAGTATACGCTAAAATAAACATGAAACCGTACTTCATGACTAAAACTCTATTGCAAGAAGAGTAGCTGGCTTCCACCAGCCCTTCACAAGGACTTCGGGAATACTAAGGGTAATAGGTACAGCATAGAAGTGCCAGCACCAGTGGTCCGGTTTCATAAGGATCTTGGGGTGACAGTGTTTTATGATCTTAGGACGACGGCTCATTGCTGGGAGGTCACAGATAAGGCGTTTAGAACACTCTGGGATTTGAAACGGACATTTACTAAGTAAGATACAACCATGTTCACTACAGTATACACAACCTTGGTGAGAACTAATCTTGAGAACTCGTTCAGGCAGCAAGCAAGGTGACTCGGATATCCTGGAGGAAGTACAGAGGGCAGCTACCCGTGAAATTACATAACTCAGGGGTTTACCATACAAAGAAAGACAGGGGAACCTGAACCTTTTTATTCTGTCCTATCACAGACTAAAGGGAGACCTCATTTTGATGTACAGAATACTGAGAAATGATTTCAGACCTTACATATTCTCTTTTTCTTACTACTAGATCAGGACATCTCAGAGGACATGGTGGGCGAGTAGAAAAGCCAACAACGAACACAGTATCAGTGGCATACAGGTTTTCACGCCGAGTCATCAATAATTGGAACCTGTTCGCACCTTCAATTGACTCACTCAAAAGAAGACTGGACACTCACAGAAGCATATTGGGAAAGTAATAACATAGGCCATTGGCCTTCTGACTTTACTACACAAATCTGAATCTGAATCTGGATATTGGATATTGAAGAAAAGCTTAAAACTTGTAGAGCGTTTTTTTAACGCGCCTGCCGCTCCAGGTATTTTTCTCCATCTTTCTGGTTCTTTCTTCAGTATATTCACGAAAAGCATTAGTGAAGTTGTATACTTGAAAAAACATGTAGAGATTTGCAAATTTTTCACTTGACACTTTGTTGCTACCTTGCTATCTTCGTGCATAATAATTTCAAAATTTATTATATATATATATACTAAGAACTAGAACGATAAATATGTGATGTGCTTGTTACTGATTTGAAGATAATCGGTAATTAAAGCGTCACATTGCTGTCAACATGAGCCATGATATGAGTTTTAGACGCATGAATGTTCTTTTTGGTATATCTTATTGGCCAACTAGTCTCATTAATAATAAGAAACTACTTGGTCAATGTCAATCTCCATTTTCAGAGCGTCTAAAAGATAGAATATCGCTAAGACTGTTCTTCCGGTTGATCAAATTTGTATGAAACAAAAGACGAGACAACCGTCAAAATAGTCTATTTTGAGCTAAACTTGTACTAGATCGTCAGATTTTGGATAATGCGTATTAGGTTTGTGTAAGTTTTGGCACATCCGCTGATAGCTTATATTGCATTAGAAACTAACTAATTTCTTCAACCTATTTCTTATGAGTTTTAAAGCAGATATACGTATCCGTTGTCCCACTACATAGTGTGTGTCATGTCATTGTAAACAAACCTGCAAGAAACACTTACTGTTGACACATCTAGTACGATAATTACTTGTTGAACGCACTTTGTGTATTCCGATGTACAGGCAAGAATGTTTGGAAGAATAATACACTTTATGGGCGAAGCAATTAGATTAGATGCTACACTTGTCAGATTTTTCGTCACACCCGTCTGTACATCCTCAAAGTTTCGACGCATCATAGATTATGTTAGTCCCTGATTAAACCGACTTCTCAACACGATATCTAATCTTAACCATAGTTCCTTACGCTCGATTCTAGACTTAAATCTTACTTGTATTCCATAGAATTCCGTTATTCCTGAAACGACTGACAATTTTCAGTGCTGAGCTTTTATAGTTTGATAAAAACAATTCAATATGTTTACATCCGCTAATTATATCGAAATTGTATTTTTGGGTATGTGGGATCCACAAATCTTATACTTATGATATCAGCTTTAAAATTTACAAATTGACTGAGTGATATGTTCAAGACTAGTAGGCCTTAAAATTCTCGACAGGTTTGTCCGTTGAAATTTATTACTTTCTATTGAAAATTGTTGTATAAAACCATCTCTCTGAATGGTGAGTTAGTCGTTGAAGGTTATCCGTATATTACACCTCGACTGATCCGATAAACTCATTATTTTAGTTACTGCCCTCTAAACCCATTCCAGTTTATTTGCTTCGTGTTTGCAGCAAGCGCTTCCCACTTGAACCCCACATTCCAAATTCGACCCAGATTATATCTTGTATTATGTTTTGAACATTGCCTGTCCCATGTTCCTAAGTGTCTTACAATCTTCCCACAAGATCCGAAGACCTTTATCAGCAGCAGCTTTGAAGTTATCCATGGTTCTGAAACCGTTATTTGCTATAGTCCGTCTTTAGCTTATTAGTTTCTCAAGGCTTTCTATTTGCAGCTTGATAATAAATTCGTTGGAAAGAGGTCTCTTCGCTGATCTCCGTGTTTTTAATGTTTGGTAATTATATTTCTGTTAAAGAATATGTAAACAGTACTAGTCCGCTTAGAAGTAATATCCAATAACATTCCAAGCTAATAAGTCGCGTAGTTTCACAGTTCGTCTCTAATTAATTAAGATGCACCAATAAGTAGATAACCAAACAATCACTCAGTGTTATAAGATATCACTTCGAAAAACGTTAGGGATGACGGAAATCAGCATTATTGTAACTGCCCATCTGTTATGCGATTTTATACTCCTATATTGCTGAATCCCACCTGTCATTCGTCTTAAATTCTGGGCAGATATTGTTGATCTTGTTCCAAATAATTTGGGTCTACTTTTTTGATTATTTCGTACCATATATGTAGCAACTTTATTTCTGTAGTCGCTTTTGTGTGGAACATGAAAAGCTCCTGATCCCCCGTTTTTATTTCTTTGATCACATGTGGTCTCAATTTTGATATGTTGTGGATCGTGTAGTTTCCGCTTGCATTACCAAAATCTAGTTACTCGTACGTTTGCAAATAACTAAATATTACTGGAATCATGTTGGGAAGCAAATGCAAGTGACTTGAAATATTTGGTACTAGTAGTACTCTAATCGCATCAGATCACAACTTTCCTTATTATATGGTTAGATTCAATGTATTTTTCCGCACCATTTAAGGTAGGCTATATGAAAATCCTCTTGAAATAAGGAGTAGTTATATAACATGTTTGTATGTTTGTGATCTGATTTTGCTGACCATTTTGACATTCATTTCGTACCTTTTCTATAGATTTAACGGTTTCTGATTGTACGCCTATTACACCTTTCCCCAACGTGGTCAAGTAAAGTTATCGCAACATCAACATGTAAAACTTATTGGTTGTCAGTATATTTACAAATTATTTCGATCTAAATTTTAATTACAATATATTTTAGATGCTTATTCAGTGCTTTAGTTTAAAACCTTTGAGGAATATTTATCGTCACGTGAATCCAATTCATCACATCTTACCTTCTCAACAGGTTCTTCTAAATTCAGTATCTAAACGGAATATTTTCGCTGTTACCGGTATTCAACCAAGTGGTAAACCTCACCTCGGAAATTATCTTGGAGTTATAAAACCGTGTGTTACGTATTGTCGTGATAGTGATGTGTCACAGTTCTTTATGCTGATCGCAGATTTACATTCTCTTACATCAAACAATTGTAATGACCTGAAGCATGGTATTCATGAACTTGTGGCTACTTTGCTTGCATGTGGATTTGAAGCAAATTCTTCAAAGCAAATTATATTCCTTCAGTCTTCTGTGCCTGGACATACTGAACTAGCATGGATCTTATCATCAGTTTGCTCGATCCTGGTAAGAGAGTTCCAACAGTTTCCCTTGTTTAAAACATTAGTCACACTGTTTAAGCTCTATGCTTTGATAAACGCTTTATCTTTTCGGAATCATATTTTAACGTTTAATGTTTAATTTGAACTGCAGATAATTGATGTGTCATACTCTGTTTAGAGAACCTAATTTATGTCATCCAAATCATTTTATCATGGAATTATTCTTTATATTCTTGAGTTGTACTTGTTGATTTTGTTGTTTTAGTTCTCTAAATATCTTCTTTGGTTTAACTATTCGATTAAGGTTTTGCGTTATAATATTCTCTTTAGAATTTTCATTTATATTAAGTAGTTAGTTATGTTAAGGATTCTAAATAATTTAATTCTTTTGAAAGATAGAAAATCATTGATTAAAGCGAATAAAAATAAAAGTAATGTAGTAACTAGATAGATACGGAGTAGATTTATAAAATGTCATCATTATTTGTTATTCACTTGTAAGTTCTAAATGCTGATTAAAATGATAAATCATTATATTCTATGAAACAAGAAATTATTCAAGGGAATTGATAAAGTAGATAAGGTTTTAAGTAATAATTAAATGATAAAAGTTACAAAATATAAAAAAAACAACAACAACATAAGTTTACTTGCTTCAAATTGACATGTTTTGTAAACTTTAAGAGTTTGGTCAAGAGATTATGTTTACAATTCAGAATGACTTTGTTAGTAGGATATAGATGAGATGAAAACATACTCAATGTATGATTGTTTTGGCGCACACTGATTGGCTAATTCTTATCCAATCAGAACTAGTCGATACTTGGACAAGACTCTAGAATCTTCTCATATAAAAATTATAAATATACTAACGTTTTTTCCTACTGTGTTTTTTTACTTCCATTTAACCTTGTTATTTGGAATATAATCTCTTTTCCTGTTCAACCGTGTTCTGAATTGGTATCCGAGACTACTAAGCAATAGGTTGTAATAAAAGAGAATTATAACATACTCATTGCCCGACTATTATGGATATTCGTTTTTGGGCATTTTTTTTTCAATGCTATTTCTCGAAGAACATTGACTATATGGAAGAATAATTTCTAGTCGTTGAACAAAATGAAGACGTTTCGACATAGAAAATCTTCTTTTCGACGATATTATTTACTAGAGCTATACGATCGTATTCATAGTTGTTTTTTACGTCTAGTGGTCTGTAATAAACATGAAGAATCATTGGGTAATTAACATCTTTAGTCCTACAGTAATGATACTTTCTTTTTACAACATTGATGTCCATAAAAAACTGATCTTGATCACTATTAAAAAATTAAAAAAAGTTACTAGTAGTAATAATGAGAGAACTCATGGTTCAAAAATCATTTGGAGTGTATATTTCTGAGTTGTTTTGTCGATGAATTCAATGTTTCTGAATAAAAATTTAGATTATTAGCAGACATCATCTAAAAATTTAAATTATTCATGCTTTTATATTGAAATCGTTTATTTTTGGTCAGTAGAATGGTAGTGCCACCAGGCTACATGATTATACCAACTACTTTCTAATGTGCAAGTTACTAGAGAGTATCTACATGTAAACCTGTTGTGGTGTGTGCTATTTATATTGACATAAGTAGTATATGATGTTAGTCGTGAACAGAAGGTCTGGCAGCAGAGAGACAAGAGGATCGAACAGTAAAGAATGGAAACAGGATGCAATTCGTACGAAAATGCAAGAACAATGAAGTCTGAGTCATTTTGAGGCAATTGATGGACATTTTGCAAATTAAGCATTTACTTTATGATTGTTACATTTTATTAACAAGTCCTGTAATTTTGTGTTAAATACATTCGATTGTCCCCACTCGTGTTCTGTTCACTCCACTGTCAGCTCTTTTATCATTTCAGAAGCTATAGTATGTGTACAGAACGCATATTGCTTTGTACATTCATATTTCAAAAGCGAGTTGTCTTGTCTGTATATGTATTTGATTATATGTGTTTTTAGCGGTACTGAATTTTCCGAACTGGTTGATGTAATTGTAGAGGTTCTGTCGCCATGTTGAGCAACATCTTCAGCATTTACTCCATTTAAGAGTATCTTCAAAATAGTGTAAGGCCATAATGTAATCATGAAGTAAATAACAATATTTGTGAGGAAAACCAAATGTTTATTTTTATTACCACTCACAGAACGTACCTTTCTCATGCTTTGTAAAATATCATATCCTCCCAAATGCCCTGGTACGGCTGAGAGTGGGAAGACTCCGCTCTCCCTCTAGAAATGCTCTCACATGGCCACGTGTATATAGCCTCTGCCAGGGAAGTCCTACTCACTGCCTTTTCATGGCGGGGGTGTTGTTTACGAAATTGAGAGGACGAAAAGCGAATGTCCGGTGCTTTAACCGGATCCCAAACCATTGGTGCACATGGGCTCCAGTATCCTGCGGGAACAAATGGCGTATGAACCAATCTTTGGTCACCGGCTACCATGGGACTGGATCTCCTCACGATGCTCCACTGCCTTGTGGGTTGGACCTTTAGGTCAAAGGCTCGGGGTGTGGCCTCCTAAGATAACCACCTGCTTCAGTTTGGGCACCCGGGCAGTATCACGGCCCTCACACATATCGAATGAGATTTGTGTGGCGCATATGTATTTGGTGCCTCCTTGTAGCAATGTCTATGTGTTAAAATAAAAATAAAATAAATAGATACGGTACACTACACAGTATAGCTATTGTAAATAAATATTTAGAGTAGATATATACAGGCATGAACTCTTTTTGACTATTATTAATATGTAACTTATTTATAAAGTATGGGTTTATACTCACGTTTAAACTACACTTTCCAAATGAATGCTAATAACTTTATTAAGTTGTCCAAAACTATGTCAGATGGAACGAAATTCCACTGTGAGACTGATTGGTTTAATCACTAATTCCTCCCTAAACTTTTTTGTTTATTACTAAACAAAATGTATCGTGCTAATGCCTTACATGTAATTCCATTAATAAACTAATATATTCAATCTGAATCTGTTCTTATACCCTATTTTGATTGAACAATATCTCCTTATAACGTTTAGTGTTATTTTATCGAATGTTCTTTTATTACAGAGGTTAGCTCATTTGCCTCAATGGAGAGAAAAATGTGGATATTTTAACTCAGTGCCTGATGTATCTACTAACAATACTTTATCAATGAATAATATCCATGATAATGCTTCCGTTGGTTTATTTACCTATCCTACTTTACAAGCTGCTGATATACTTCTTTATGGAGCACATTCAGTTCCTATTGGAGCTGATCAAATAACTCATATTGAATTAACACGTGATCTAGTTCGATCAGCTGTACATAAATGGCCGTCATTATCATCTATTTTACATATACCTAATAGTGTTATTTTTGATGCACCTAAAGTAAGTCATTCCATGTTATATTTCTTTTCTTTCATATAAATTCCAAAATCTAATAATGTAAATTAATTTTATCATTAAGCTTATTATACATTTAATTATAAAACAATCTATTCTGTCATTGAATACTTTTTAATGAGTTCATTTCAATGCTGTATAATTGTGAGGGTCGGGATACTCAGTCAGTCAGTCAGTCAGTAACAACGTAGAACTTCGTACGTACGTATATTAGTTCGAGTTGCCATACCACATTAGCATAGAGATGCAGTTGTCGACTCAAATCCCGTATTGGTAGAAGTAGTACAAGTAAAAGCAGTAATCGGAAACATTAGGGCTTAATGTTATTCAAGTAGTATAATACAGTGAAATAAATTTGGAAGGAGAAAAAGGAAAGGGACATGAAGAATTCAGGAGAATACAAAGAGTAGGTGCACCTGCGCCATTGCAAACGATTTTGAGCCATGTCACTCAAGGTCTCTAACCATCGGTTGCTACCAACTCGCGGATCCCAACCAGGTAGTCTACACCCACCAACATGACTCAGTTCACTTGTCAGTGACTTGATGAATTTGTGCCGTGTTCTGGTCTGGCAACCCCTAGATTTCTCTCAGCCTACTCCTATACCATTGAGCATCGCACATCCGAGGCAGTCGGTGTTTAGGCATACGTAACACATATCTCAGCCATCTCAACTGATAAAGTTTCACCGATTCATCAATTGATTTGCCATCCTTACCTAGTACCCGTTTTCTAACAACTGCGTTACTTACTCGATGGTCTCAGGATATACGAGCAATGTTCCGAAGACACATGATCAAATACTAGTAATTTACTGCCCAGGTGCCCAAACTGAAGCAAGTGGTTTTCTTAGGGGGCCACACCCCGAACCTTTGACCTAAATGTCTAATCCACAAGGCACTGAAGTAACATAAGGAAATGCAGTCCCATAGTATCCATTGACCGACCATAGGTTCATACACTGTTTGTTTCCTTAGGATCCTGGAGTCCATATGCACCATTGGTTTGGAATCAGAGTTTTCCAACTCTTCTACGTGGATCATCTATATCCACCAACCCGGTTAAAGTGCTGGACATTCGCTTTTCGTCCTCTTAATTTTGTAAACAACACCCTCGCCGTGAGAGTGCAGTGACTAGGACTTCCCTGATAGTGGTTGTATACATGTGGTCATGTGAGAGCATTTTTCGAAGGAGAGTTGACTCTCTTCACCGTCGGCCGTATCAAGGCATTTTGGGGCTAGAATTTGATTCGTTATTACATGAAATTTGACTATATCATTCTACTACAAACATAAGAGTAAACAATGAAGGGGATAGAGAGAAACTAAATAAACTAAATAAGATGCAAATTGAAACCGTAGTAACGAAGAGGACTTAACAAAGTGTTTTTCTACACAAAACAAGTTTCAACTCATAAATAATCGAAGTTTTTTCCAATGTAAAGTAGGTTAAGGCGTACACCTCTTTGTATCTTTGGATTTTGTAAATTTTGTAGAATGATAAGACTGAGGTTGAATTTTCTGTGTTTGTTACATGTTGCAAAATCAATGATGCTATGAACTTATATCAACATTTGTTAAACCATGTTAATGGATCCTCTCGAATATAACAAAAAGTTGGTCTCGGTTATAGACTTACTTAGCTTCATAAGAGTAGGTAAACTTGTAAATACCTTTATAGCTGTACAGCTTTTGAAATGAACTCGTTTAGAGGGGTTTTAACCCAATAAAATTTCCTATTTGAATAAGGCCATAATAACTGAGATAAAATAACATAATTTTTTTCTGTGGTTCCTCAGCTGTTTACAACCATATGATATGATATAGGTGGAGTTTTATTCTCTGAGCTGTATGGTTTGCTCGTGGAGTTTTCAATGTTCTTCTGAGAAATATTAACAGCACATACTTCAGGGGAGAGTAAGGTGTTCTAATTTCTCCACATATAGCTCACAGCTTACCCTGTCAACCTTGATCTCGATTGGTTATTGTTGACCTTTAACCTGTCACTGTCCACTTCTTTATTTTGCTTGTATCTCCAATTGATTTGATTCTTGGTCCTTATATTTGTCCATAATTTTTTCTGATTGGTTGATAGATTAGATCCATTTCAATGTGTTTATTGATTGCTGATTGACCTGAGTGCCAAGCTTCTACAAATTCTCTGGTCTTTTCAGAATTGCCTCTACCCAAGATCTCAACATTTTCCCAGTCGAATGTGTGTCCATAGTTGTTCACATACATTGATATAAGCAAGGATGTGTTATGGCGTTTGACCGCTAATTAATGTTCGTGCAATCGAAGATGAAAAGGGCTTTCACTTTGCCTGATGTAGTGTTTTTTGCAGTTGGAACAATTTATTTTCTAGATGATGATCTGTATTTCTTCTTTTTTCATTTCGTCCTTTGGTTTGCATAGGATTGATTGAAGTGATTTTTCTGGTTTGTGTACTACATCTATTTCAAACGGCTTCAATAATCTCGTAATTTCTAATGTCTTTTATATATGGCAGGATGATCTGTTTGTTGGTTTTTTTACTTTATCGTATTTCTGATGATGCGTTAGGTTGATATTTTTTGATAAAGTTGATTGGGTAGCCGTTCTTTTGAAAGATGATAGTCTTCGAATATTTTTTTCTGCGCTGGAAGTGTGTTTTCGCCCTCTTGAATATAGTTTGTACGCAGTTGATTTTGTGAGTTCTTGCGTTGTTGCTACTGTACTTGAGAACTTGGTCTATGTGGGTTGGCTTGCGATATGCAGAATCTCCAGTATTCCTGTGTTGGTTCTGGTATTCAGTACATTCAATAATGATAGCTTTTTTGCTTGACTCCGTTTCCACAGTGAATTTTTATGTCATCGAAGACGTTGTTAAATAAATTGTGTCTTCAAACTCGTCCTTTTTGACGATGACGAATGTATCGTCCTCATGACGAGTCTAAATTTTTGCCTTGATCACTGGTAAGATCGTTGCTTCCAGTTTCTGTATCACTGCTTCTGCAATAAGTTTTGATATCGGTGATCCCATCAGTGTTCCTTTTGTTCGTCCGTAGACTTTTATGTTAAAGTAGACAATGATAGGCTAAAGGTCAACAATAACCAATCAAGATCAAGGTCGACAGGACAAGTTGTGAGCCATATGTGGGGAAATTCGTACATTTGACTTCTACCTGAAGTTGATAGTTGTGATATTGAAATGAAAATGATTACCAGTATTATATATATACATTCATTTAGAAATGAATATCGGAGACATGAATATGTGCAAGTCCCGAAAAAAAATTGAGTTTAAAGGGCGCTATTGCAATAGCTAAATATTTAATCGACAGCAGTCATATCATCGCCATTCATAAGTCGTTCAAGATTATAAAGGGATAAAAAAATCGAAATTTTTTACGTTTCTAAAGCATCTGCTACTAATTAGAAAATTCCAATCCAATCTACCTGTTCCATAAGGATCAGTTTTCATTTGATCATTATCATGCTAAATTCTTGAGACAAATTAGCGTCCTATTGAAGTTCTTACTTATCATATGTTTTTTAGGAAGGAGGAAAGGAATAGATGAAGATGGAAAGATACATAAAATTGACACAACATTTGCCTTCTTATTTTCACTAGTAAACTGCTAAGTTTGAAGAGATTATAAAATCACCTAAAATCGGCGAATGTAACTAAGGATCATCGACACAACGACAAGACAAGCTAAACTATTCCGTTACATCCCAGTCCCACTAACTAGAGGGAGAAGATCATATTCAGATGAGTGAAAGGTATATTCGGCAAGCAGCCAGAAACACACAACTCAAGTATATATACAGCATAAAATGTCTTTGGGAGACGTCACAAAATGGCGTAATAAAAGAGGTAACGAACCGATGAAATTTACGGCCCTTCCAAGTAGGAAATATAGTATGTGGGTCAAGATTTCCAAAATAAAATTACCAAACACTTCTGGTGATCTAGCATCCCAAACAAAATATTGATTATAAAAAATAATTGCTAATCACTACCTACCTCGATGGACGATGTTTGCTGGAAAAGGAATAGATTGAAAGAAAGCTACGGGCAGCCAAACAAAAATATGTCATTCCACAAATTCATTGACCGTCAGTCTGAGTTGTTCTGGAAGATCCAAATTTATTGGTTGGGGTACGACAATTAATGTTGGCAAATTGGGTTAACATAGTTCAAATCCATTCACTTTTTATCTTCCTCTAGATTTCGTATTCCAGTATGCCTTCATCCTTACCTTTCTATCCTGTCTTTTTGAATCACATCCTGAATGCCTATTCTTATTGCAACTACTGATACATTGTTCTACTCTCTTCTATGCATCGTGTTCACCTCATCTTGTTATGCTAATATAAAGTGACAAATTGTATCAAATACCCTGCTACGGCCGAGGGTGGGGAGATTCAGCTCTCACATGACCACGTACATACAACCACTGCCAAGAAAGTCCTACTCACTACCTTCTCATGACGGTGATGTTGTTTACGAAATTGAAAGGATGAAAAACGAATGTCTGACTCATTAACCGAGTTGCTGGATATGGAGGGTCCATTTAGGGGAGCTGAAACACCCTGATTCCAAACCAATGGTACACATAGGCTTCAGTATCCTAAGGGAACAAATGGCGTATGAACCTATTCTTGGTCATTGGTTACCATAGGATTGCATTTCCTGACGTTGCTTCACTGCCTTGTGGATTAGACCTTTAGGTCGAAGTTTGGAGTAGTGGTCCCCTAAGAAAACCACCTTGTTCGATCTGGGCATCCGGACAGTATCACAGCACACAAAAAAACGAAGTGACTTGTGTGGCGCATATGTATTTAGTGCCCCTTTGTATCAATATTTATGTGTTCAAATAAATACATAAATATATCAGATTCTATTTTGATGATGTCTGAACGTTGTTGCTACCTTGACGTGGTGGTCGGGCTCACCTATCCTGATGAACCGATCAAGCTATACTGGCTGGAGAAGTCGTTCCTCAAGGTCTTACCATGCCAGATATGTCCTTTTCAGGTACCATCAGAAGGTACTTTCCATGGCGTGGGCAGCCAGGATGTGATTACCGCCCTCATACCTTTAGCCAACACTCAACACAACTTATTTTGATGATGACTGGCTTTAAACATTTCATCCGATATCTATTATTATCTTTGTGTTTTCTTTTTGTTTTTCGATTACAACAGATAAACAACCTAACTAATCCAATTAAAAAAATGAGTAAATCTGATACATCAGAATTAGGTATAATCTATCTAACTGATACACCAGATAATATTTATAAAAAAATTAGACGTGCTGAAACAGATTCTATCCGTAAAATTACTTATGATATTGAAAACCGTCCTGGAGTATCAAATTTATTAAGAATTCTATCTGCTATCCAGGTAATTTTAAAATCTTTTTATTATTAAATCAGTAACGATATAGAAAATGATCAATTTTTTGTATTTTCAATAGTTGAGATCATAAGCCAATTGAAGCTAGATCACAATGGAAGCAGTGAACGGCCGTTTCGTTCTTTTATGGGACTGCTCATCAGTGCATATCCACGACCCCGTCTCACAAGGTTTGAACTTCGGACCTATCGGTCTTACGTGCGAACGCTTAACCTCTAAACCACTGAGCCGACTGACATCCAATGGTGTTAATGTCTATCTTCAACTAATTCACCAAATTGAGCGACATATCCACATTTTGTATTTGTAAATTGTCGAATTGTTCGGTCTTTTACAGTTACTAAATACTATTAATAATAATAGTGAAAGTAAGATAATATTTGGCTGATCGAGATCGCATATCACCTGAAGCGATAATACAATAATATTTCCACACTTAACAACAAAATAGGGAAGAAAATTACAATTCAAATGTTTGATACATCATTGGCTAGTAGAATAATGTTGTTTGGTTATCTAGAAGTCAATTCCACGTTTTTATAACCCTGTAGCTGAATAAATTTTTCAGATTATTGGTACACTAATTGATCTTGTGTATAATAACTTGTCAACTATAAAAGCGATATGATCTGTTTTACTGGTGAGTCTCAACTAGTATTTGAACGGAAGAAAACCAACTATTTTATATAATTATATAAGAAAATAAATATAGATATCGTTTATGTAATTAGGAAGACAAGGCACGTAGTTCGTTATTCTCATGTCCTTCATTGGTAAACATCAGTAGTCAGTCAGTCAGTCAGCTACAACGTAGGACCAGGCACATATGTGCATCGGTCCAGGTTGCCATACCTCATTAGCACAGCAAGATGAACAGCGGATTCATAGGAGTGGTTAGGTCAAAGGTTGCAATAAGGATATAGTATAGGAAGAAAGAATTAGTTCGTAGACAGAAAGAATGAAGTGATTTTAGTCTCTTAGTTTAAGGGAAGACAGGGAGTGTATACACCGACGCCATTGTGATCGATTCTGAGCCATGTCACCAAGAGTCTCCAACCATTGGTCACGATAGTCACACGGACCCCAACCAAGTAGTCTGCATCTACCAACATGGCTCAGACTAGAAGTTAGTGACTTCAGGCACTGATGCCACGTTTTGGTTTGGCCGCCCCTAACTTTCTTCCAACCATCCCCTACACCGGTTAGCATTGCACGTCGTGGTAATCGGTGTTCAGGCATACGTAATACGTGGCCCAACCATCAGTAGTAGTGTAAGAATTGTGATGCTTCTCGGTAACTCAAAATAGATGGTCACTCTAAATGTCTTGTTCATAAGGTACTGGAGCAACATTTGATGATGCATTCTCATGGTAGAGCAGGTGACCTAAGTACGTTCATATCCCGTTCCTTCTATTAAGAGAGTAGGCCCTATATGCAACCTTGATTTCTTACTAACGTTTTCCAATTTTCTTATCTGAATTGTTTTTGTGCACTAATCTGGCTTAAGCGCCAATAACTGTTTTCGTGCTCTAACTTTGTAAAATATGTAACCCTACTACGGGAAGGGGCTGTTTACGTGCGATCTTATGGGACTGTGTGTAGAGTAAGAATGACTCTCCTCTCCATCTTCTTAATTCTGAATTTATGCAAAAAGTTTAGTTTTTTTATTTTTAAGACGCTTTAAGGCGCTTCTGATTCTTAGTATGAAACTGTGGAGATTGTTGAGTTTTGATCTTGAATTGATCAATGTTAGACCACTATTGAAAACCTGGAAGCACTGGATGGACGTTTCGTCTTAGTATGAGATTCCTCAACAGTGCATATCCATGAACTTTTTTTTAATTCTATTAATTAATTTATATACATTTAAATAGTATTAAATAACCACTAAATATTTAATGGTGTTTTATTATTAAGGGTCGTAAAATTGAAGAAATTCTATCTACAGTACCTAATGATTGGAGTAAAGAAGATTTGAAATCCAAAGTGTCAGATGCACTTATTGAAGAATTTGATCCAATTCAAAAACGAATAAATAATTTTATGAATACAGAAGAAGGTCAATCTACTATAGTTAATTGTTTATCATATGGTTCAAGTCGAGCTAATCAGTTGGCTACAAAACGTTTAGAGCTAATTTACTCTGCTATTGGTTGTAAGATATCAGATTGTAAAAATTATTCTTCATCATATTAACTAAAATAGTAACCGTTTAATATGAATATATGGTCTATTAAGTTTTCTTTCATGTGTACATTGGTTACAATACTTTTGATATCTAGTATCTATCTATCTACCTACCTACCTTCTGATTTTTGTTTTGAATCATTATGCAATTATCCAATGAAGTGTGAGCGATTAGCACAACAATTCTAAACACTGTGTAGATTTATTCCTTAACTTTAGAACAAAACTGGCAACTGATGTTTGTTGTATACTGTTTACCTACAAGAGTTCTTTTAGATTATATCGGCTATATATTCTAAGTTTACAATCAGCTACAAACTTTGAATTTTCTGCTATTGTTTGGCCAGTTTTCAAATAAACTATCAAGAATATTGCGACTCTATAGTGTTTTACACCTCAACTAGTTCGATTGACACTTCACAGTAAATAGCTCCGATCCTGACAAAAAAAATGGCATACGAACCTATTCTTAGTCACTGGTTATCATAAGATTGCATCTCCACTGCCTTGTGGATTAAACCACTAGGTGAAAGGCTTCCGGGTATGGTCTCCTAAGAAAACTACCTATTCCGTTTTTCGTCAAAAAAAAACAAACTGAAACTTTTATTATCATTCATTTGTATTGGTTGTTTGCATTTTCCCATTGATGTTTAGTTCTGCATTTCACCAGTCTCTTTTTTTTAAAAAAAAACATTAACTTCGGTATCCAAATACATTCAGTTAAAGAGTCACAAATAGGACGAAACACGATTCAAATTAGATTCCATTGCTAGCTACTATTCATCTTTGCTTATAACACTTTTAAATTAAGACAATATGCACATATACCATACCAATAAGAAGAGATTGATTAATTGCAGTGTTAAACATCAATGGGAAGATTCAAGTAAACAACAATACTAAGTGAATTCAAAAATAACAAGGTTTCTAACATGAAATGGATTTATTCTATTTCACGGTGTTGGGATATTCAGGAAAATATCCCAAAGATTATTCTGCTAGTCCTAATGCTATCCTTGGACATGAAATGATATCATCTTATTGGTTAATATTTATTTAACGTGTTATTTTCCTGTTGGCCATTACTGTACAATGTTATCTTCTATTTTATGGTACGTTGTAGACTGCTTGAATGGTATATAAACAAAGTATGTTTGAAATAAAATGATTCATATATCTGAGGCTGTGACTTGCGTTCTGGACTCAATTGGCTGGGCTAGACAGGGAAGCGAGACCAATCAGAACCCTAGGTCGTTCTACGTGTTTGCGCGTCTTTGGTCCGATCAATAATCCGCTATCCCTTATTCCGCATCAAATATTTTTCACGCTATAACAACGGTTTTGTATTAGCGATGAAATTAATATGTGATAGGGTAATCTCTTAACATTATACAAAAGATGAATATCAGAAGATGTAAGAATAGAATTAATTTGATAAACAATCAATCACACAATAACAGGTCAGTATAGGAACGTTTGATACCAATTATCTCTCCAAAGTAGAGTAAACTTGATGGGTTTTTTTTTCTGTTGATTATTGGTGCTATAACAGATGACCTGTGTGCCCTGTTAATGTATAACATACTGATAACATAATATTCAATGATGCATAATATTTATACGTACATTTATATTTTTGTTTGATGCTTTACACCTGCTCTTACTCACCATGTTATATAGGGATAATACTTCTAAGTCATTGATCTCATAATCAGCATTATGCAAATGTGATTAAAATGATCTCGGTGGTCTTGTAATAGTATTCCGACAGCCGAAAATGGGTTTTATGAAATTCGCTGTCTCGGGCATTTCTATATGTTTTGACGCGCAAACTTCATATCGCCTCCTTACGGGTCATATTTTCCTTCATAGTCTTTCAACAGAAAAATTTACGTCAATGCGGCGAACTATGTCTTACTTCCGTAATGACTGCTATTGAACGATGTATAATATATACACGAATATATCAATTTTTCATACACGAATTACACTGTAGCACCCTACCAATGTTATATAAATTATTCTTCCGATAACTGCGTTTGCATAAGTTCGGTTGAGTCCGATGTACATTGTGTGTATGTTAGGAGACAGTGTGTGGTGACTGTGTAGGGTGGTATGGTGTTGTGGTGTGACGAGCTGCCAACCCCTGGTTTACAAGACCAGTGCTCTGACCACTGAGCTATGGAGGCCGACTACACTGCTACACAACACTACATCCACCATTCACTCACTCTTACAATCCACAGTCCTACATCTCGTCCACTCACTGAACCACACATCAATTTCGCCACAGTATCAAACACTCTACAAACACGCAAGTGTCCTCAGTCAGTAAGACAGTCAATCGATCACATCATCACCATAGTTTGCAATCAACAATTTATTCGACCAGTCAATCAATCGACCAATGTAGCTTTCAAGCACACTACACGACGCTTGGCCAGTTAGCCAATCAATTCATCCATTCATCTGTCTGGTGTACGGGTAATCAATCATGTGATTTCCAAATGCACAAACACAAACACACACACACACACCATTCTATCAGTCGATGAGCATGTGAAGGCCGATTGTCAACTATGCACATGGTCATGAAACTGGAGATTGGGAGAGGTGAGTCCACATCAGTACTATCCACCTCTCGTCATCTGCCTCATCTGCAATTATCGTCATCACCATCACCATCGCTCATCATACGTCATGACGTACTGTGTCACTGGATCGTCACGGTGTACCCGCCGTTCGACTAGTAGTTCGACGAACACCTGACCGTTTGTCCTAGTCCACTGACTGTGTTGTTAGACTATGGTGAGGAGGAGTTGTGTACAGGTGATCAGTATGTCAACCAATAGAGGATTTGAGTAATGAGCAGGTTGATAAGCGTGAGATACTATGTTGCGTTTGATTCGATGTGAGTTTCCGTCTATCTGGCCATCTGAGAGTTTGTTCATGAATGCAAGTGTGTAGTGTTAGTTGTTGGTTGTCGGTTGTCGGTAGTGTATGAGTGAGTGAGAGTGTGTGTTGTGTGAGTGTTGACGTGTATTCAGTGGTGAAAATCTGAGTTGGTGGTTGAGTTTGGCTTAGTTTGGAGTGTGTTGAGTGTGGTGACATTGACGTGCTCCTCGATAGTATAGTGGTAAGTATCTCCGCCTGTCACGCGGAAGGCCCGGTTTCGATCCCGACCGTTGTTGCTACCTTGACGTGGTGGTCGGGCTTGTCTATCGTGATGAAGCAACCGAGCTATACTGGCTGGAACAACCGTTCCTCAAGGTCCTACCATGTCAGACAGGTCGGTTGAAGAGCGGTAAGACTAAAAGCAACAAACCCAAGGTCCGAAGGCGAAGTCGTACTGCTGACTGTACAGAGGTGTGACAGCAGTAAGGTGTTTCCTTCAGACAACCAGCATGACAGCGATGCTGCCTTCCCACAAGGAGGTGTGGGGTTAGAAAAGGTCGACCCTAAAAATGCACACCTCGCCTTATCCCACGGATATCCGTCTCCGGCGGTAAGGTCCCAATAAGTACGGAGCTAACACAAAAATTACCCATAACAAGGTCGTGTGTGACCGACCTCAAGCAGTTGTCCCTTGGGCACTGCGGTCACGCTCTCAGGTCACTAAGACCACCTTTAATCCAAATTCCTTTTCAGGTACCTCCAGAACAACCCTTCCACGGTGTGGGCGACCGGGAAGTGAAAACCGCCCTCATACCTCTAACAGCACTCAAGACCACTGTATTCATAATCAACCTTCCTCTTCAATTCCTATTATTCCTCCTACATCGACTTTCAACTTTAAATTTCCTCTCTCGGTTTCCACCTCAAGTGTCACCATAGCCAACGATTCTAGTGCGCAAAATACTGTCCCAGGTCTACTGAAACCTCGCTCCAAACTACACATTGGAGCCTTCAACGTACGAACCCTATGTCAAATTGGTCAGCAGGCTTCCTTGGCTAAAACCCTAGAGTCTCTTACCATTGATGTATGCTGTGTCTCCGAAACACGCATACAGGATTCCAGTGTGGTCATTCACCTGACCTCACCTCGGCAAAACGGAGAACCAACGAGGTACACCCTTCGTGTATCTGGTGACCCGATGGCAAGTTCTCGTGGACTGGCAGGTGTAGGCATAGCACTAAGCATGAGGGCCGAACAAGCACTGCTAGAGTGGATCCCCGTCAACAGTCGTCTATGTGCTGTTCGGCTGAACGGCTACGTAAGAACTCGGAAGGATAGGGACACACGTCGTTGCCTTTTTGTCGTTTCTGCCTACGCTCCCACTGACTGCAGCTCAGATGATGTGAAAGATGAATTTTACAGAAAGCTGTCCGAACTTCTTCAGAAAGCTAAACGCTCAGACATAGTACTCGTAGCAGGTGATTTTAATGCTCAGATAGGCAGTTTAAACCAAACAGAAAGGCATTTAGGTGGATATTTTAGTATTCCGACACAGCGAACAGACAATGGTGAGCGTCTGCTGCAGCTATGTTCAGACAATCGTTTATTTTTAGCAAACACAAATTTTAAGCATAAGGAGAGACATCGTCTAACATGGCGACCCCCTACACCAAACCAACGATGGATTCAAATAGACCATATTGCCATCAGTCATCGTTGGAGAGGGTCGGTAGAAGATTGTCGCTCATTCTGGAGTACCTGCTTGGACTCCGACCATGCCCTAATACGGGCACGCATCTGCTTGCGCCTCACTGGACGCAAAAAAGCCACATTAAAAAGACCCGTTAGAACTGATTTGAGTAACGAGAAAACCAAAAGTAGGTTCCAGGAACAACTGAGGTCACACTTAGGTAGTTGTGAAGACGAGGCTGACCCAGATGTTGCTTGGAAGGGCATACAATCAGCTGTGGAAACAGCAGTGACATCCATTAGTGACTTAAACCACAGAGTTGCAAGGAACCAGTGGATTTCTTCAAGGTCTGTCACACTGATGGATTCTCGCAAACTCGTCCCATCAGGTCCTGAACATGATGAAGAGCGAAAACAAATCAGATCTAGGTTAAGAAAAAGTCTAAAGAACGACCGTGAGCAGTGGTGGGTAACGAAAGCAAAAGAGATGGAAAAGGCGGCGACTATAGGGAACACAAGACAGCTTTACAGACTAATAAAAGAATCTGGAATTAATAAGTCAAGTGTAAGTGAGATTATTTCGGAAAAGGATGATACTCTCATCTGCTCCCAGTCCAGACGTTTAGAACGATGGGCGGAACATTTTAGAGAACAGTTCAGCTGGCCTTCAGCTACTCTACAACTACCCTCCATTCGCAGACAGTGTGAATGGAACATTGAAATAGGTCCCCCTACTCTTGCTGAAGTTCAAAAGGCTATAGTGAATCTGAAACGAGGAAGGGCAGCTGGTCCAGATGGATTGGCTCCAGAGGTCTTTAAGGATGGTGGTCCAATTTTAGCGATTAAGTTGACTAATATTTTAGCTAAGATCTGGGAATTAGACTTTATCCCATCTGACTGGTCGCAATCACTTATCGTCCCAATATATAAGAAAGGGTCAAAATCATCCTGTGACAACCACAGAGGGATTAGTTTAACAAACATAGTTTCTAAAATACTAGCCTCGATAATTATCAAACGCCTAACTAAGACTCGTGAACTACAAACTCGAGAGAACCAAGCTGGCTTTAGACCTGGTCGTGGCTGCATCGACCACATATTCACCATTCGTCAGGTTCTAGAACACAGGCATACCTATCGGCGTCCGACGATGGTGGTCTTTCTTGACTTAAAAGCAGCATTTGACTCGGTAGACCGCGAGACTCTGTGGCAGTGTCTGTCATTGAAAGGCGTACCTCAGAAGTACATAAACCTTGTGAAGGCTCTTTACTCGAACACTACTAGTCGAGTCAGGGCTTATGGCGAACTGTCATCTACTTTTGCAACCTCAAGTGGTGTCCGTCAAGGCTGTCCACTTTCTCCATTTTTGTTTAACTTCATCATAGACCTATTGATGGAAATAACACTCTCGTCGACTGAATTCTCGGGTATTGATCTCCTTCCAGGAGGTCCACTTATCGACTTAGAATACGCAGATGACATAGTCCTGTTTGGTGAAGACGCTGAGAAAATGCAGAGTCTTCTGGTAGCACTAAGCAACAATGCCAGAATGTTTGGGATGCGCTTCTCTCCCTCTAAATGCAAGT